TGCAGTTGCAGTTGCAGTTGCACTTGCATCCATCGCCGCATCGCCCCATCGCCCCACATAGCCCTCTCTCGCTCCCTCCGACTGAGGCCGGCCTGCTCTCGCCCAAGGTTTAGGATGTGTGCTGCGTTTTGAGCCTGTTTTTTTGCGCCTTTGCTTTTTTGCACTTTTTGGATAATTTTTATGTATTTCTAGGATTTTTTTGTTGGCTCCCTTTTTATTTTTATTTCAGGGCCAAGCGAGCCGAGTGGAGCCGAGCGCTGCCGATGCGAGCCCCTCCCATCATCAGCTTCAGTTGCTGCAGCACGCTGGGTGGTGGGCGGTGGGTGGTGTTTGGTGGGCGGTGGACTGCAGGCTGCAGTGGCCGTTGCAGTGGCCAGTGCATCGGCATCGGCATCGGCAGTGGCAGCCTGCTGTCATTTCACTCGCACCCAGGCCTTTTGCGATTGGGAATGTGTTGTTTGATTTTTCCCGCCCCGCGCCGCGCTTGCCATATCCTTTTTTTCGGTGTATGTACTTTTTGTGATTTTTTTTAATCTTTTGTGCTTTTTGGGCGGCTTTTTGTTGGGTTTTCGCGCTTTTTTCGCCTTCCTGTTGCACGCAACTTGCAGCGCTGCGTTTTTATTGGCTGCCGCCGAACGTTGTGGCTCGAATGTGTGTGTGTTGGTGTGTGTGTGTGTGTGCGGCCATAAGTAGGTGCACTTGCTGCATGTACATGATTTTTTGTGTTTTTTTATTTTATTCGCACTTTTTTTTGCACGCGTATGTATTTTAGCTATCGACGTTGGCTTTTTTGGTTGCAATCCTTTTTTTTGTTTTGTTTATTTTTTTTTTTTTTTTGCTTTGCTGCCTCCGCAGCGACGCTTAATGCAAATAAAATGTTTGCGTTGACTTGCATTATGCCTGCACCACCCACCCACCCACCCACCTACTCTGCTGGACGGTGATAACGCATCCCGCGCATCCCACCGAACGAACACTCTTTTGGTTTTGGCCAGACCGAAACCGGTTTTTATTTTTCAGTCATTAAAAATTTTTGCCACCCCCTCCTGCCATCGCAGCGCCCCCTGGATGTTGCATGGCCTCTGCTCCTGGCGATGAACGATCGTCCTGTTTCTGGTCCTGGTCCTGGTCCTGTTCCTGCTTCTGGTAGTGGTTCTGGTTCTGGTTCTGGGGGTCTGCTTGTGGGTGGTGGGTGGTGGGTCCCTCTGGTGGGGCCCCGTTCGTAGAGGGTCGAATGTGGGTCGCCAGCCGCCGTTTTATTTTGTTGTTGCTGGTTTTTTTGTTGGCAAGCTCGTCGCATAATCGCCGGCTTCACACGCAGCCTGCACTCAACTCAGCTCAACCCCCACGACCCACCGCCCACCGCCCAGTGTCCTGCGTCCTGTGTCCTGTGTCCCGTGCTCTGTGTCCTGTGCTCTGTGTCCCGTCCCATGCAATCGTTTTTTCGGCATTTTGCATGCAGCTTTGGGCTTTTTGCATGCACCGCCCCCTCTCTTCCCCTCTCTTCCCCATTTGCAGCGTTTCCAGCATTTCGGTTGTCGTGTTTCATTTCACATCTCAGGTTTTTCTTGTCCTGTTTTCCCGCACGTTTTTTCGTGACTTTTTTGGCCCTGCTCGCCGCTCGTCTGTCTGACTCTTTCCAGAACCCTGTGCTGTTGTTTGGCATTTTTCACATAAATTTCGCTTCTTTACAAAATTACCGATATTTTGATAGCCGTGCCCCCCCAGCCAACCCCTCCGCCTGTTCCTGCATCTCCCCTCGCTGAACTTAAGCTGTCGATTAACATTTTGTAGGCATTTCGCGGCTGAATTGCCGCCGCACCCACACTGCCCTTAACTCTGGCTCCGCCGGTTTGGCCTTTTTGCAATTAAACTCTTTTCCCCCCGCCGCTCGGCTGCCATTTTGCCTGCGTTTTGTGCTTTGCTTTTCAAACATTTGCATTTTGCCACTTGACGCCTTTGTGTGTAATTGATTTCCAACGCTTATTGTTAAGTGGCAGGCACAACATGCCGGCCAGCAAGAAAAAAGGCAGCCTCTAACCCAATCCCTGGCCCCTCAGGTGCTTTGGCAAACTATTGTTGTTTTGTTCAGCCGTTGTTTTCCGTTGTTTTGCGTTGTGTTGTTTTGCTTTGCGTTTTGTTGTGTTGTGTTGTTGCGGCCGCCTTTGTTTTGCTCCTAACAGCTGAACAGCGGGCCAGAGTCTTCGGTTTTGGCCCACTCGCCGCCTTTGCTTCGAGTTTGGCTCTCTGTATTGCCGTTGCCCCGTTGCCCCGTTGCAGTTGCATACACACAAGTGCACAAGTGCCGCCGCAAACACAAATTAATTCCGAGCATTTAGTTGCATTGTGGCTCAAGTGGCCGGTGCTCCTGGGAGGAGAGGGGTCTGCCCGCCCTGTCCTTGACCAAATCATATCGGGAAAAAGGGGCCGTGGCAAGGGCTCCTCAAACGCCGGCTCAACAGCAGCGACCTCTGACCTTAACTCCAACTACTCAGCGATTGGCAGTGGCCGATGGCGGAATCGATGGCCGTAATCGATCATCCAACCCAGCAATTCAACCTAGTACCCATTGAAACGGTTTGCACACTAAAAGAAGTACCACGACTTTCAAAATCATTATGAATATTTAAGTACTAAACGGTTACATTTTCAGTCATTAACTTGGTGCTTTTACATTGGATTTAAAGATGGCATTATTTCTAATATTTGACCTCCGGTTTGAAAGTGGCATACCTCTTAATGATCATAATTTTATTCTCTAGCTAACTGCATTAGTTGTTATTTTTCTATTTTGGGTAAATTTTTTGAAATTTGTATAATTTTATTTCCACTTTTTCCAATTTTACGAAAAATAGGTTTGACAAGCTCCAGGATTTCTACATACCGCTAAAAGTTTGAAGTTTAATTCTCCAGCAAACTGCATTATTAGTTTAATTATTTTATTTTTTTTTTTCGATTTTTCTAATTTTTATGTTGTAACCCCTTTCTAAATTTAAAAAAATAAATGGGTTTAGCAAATAGTAACCGAAGCCCAGCTCTTCTAGTCCGATAGCTTTTATTATTTTAATCCGATTTTGAAGTGACGTACCTCTAAAAGTCTATAGTTAAATTCTATGGCAAACTGCTTTATTAATATTTTTTTATTTTCGGGTCGATTTAATTTTTATGACCTTTCCAAATTAACAAAAAATTGGTCTTTCAAAAAGTGGCCAAAACCCATTATTTCTAGACATTTTACTTTTTTGATTGATCTCCTATTTTTAAGTGACATTCCTCTAAAAATGTGTAGTTTAATTCTCTAGCAAACTGCATTATTAGTTTTTTTTTTTGTTTGAGTCGACTTGTTACAATTTTTTTGATGAAACCACTTTCCAAATCTACGAAAGGGGTTTTGCCAAAATGTGAACAAAGTCCAGTACTTCAAAGCCAACAACTTTTTTGATTTATCTCCAATTTTTCAACCTCTTAAATAGTTGTGCATTAATTCTTTAGTGAACAAAATTATTGGTACATTTTTGCGCAAACCCAGAAAAGTGACCGAAACCTAGTACTTCCGAGTCTAAAACTTTTTTAGTTGAGTTCCGATTTATATTGCTGTTAAATAGTTTTTAGTGGTCTTAAAGAATTACTGAAAAGCAATGGCATTTCGCAAGGTTACATTCCACTAATACATGGAGCACTTCGTGATGGTGCGACTCAAATGCGAACGAGTCTAAATAAATAAATATTTGGCAGCTACGACGTAGGCAATATTCCAGAACAGAACAGGCACACCCGAACAACAAAAATTCTGGGGAAACGGACCTCGATGGGGACAAGAAAATATTAAAAATCTTCGCACGCATTTTGGTCGCGCATTAAAATCAAAGTAAAATGGCATCAATATAAATACTCGTAAATTTGCAATTTCGGGCTCGAGCCCCAGAAGAAAGCATCCTGCTCCCGCTCCTGTTCCTGCTCCTGCTCCTGCTCCTGGCCCAATTCCCGTTCCATGCGTCTCTGTCAACATGCGCGACACATGAACGGAATGCGAGCGGTGGCAGGAAAGTGATGGAAGAGGGGGGAGGGGGCAGCTGGGTAGCAGGGAATTCGCAAAGGCAAAGGACCGCTGCTGCGCTGCGCCCAATCGGATCGTAAAAGGCCTGTCTCCTCGGTCCTGGCCATGGCTCATTCGCGTGTTTAGCCTGCGAAGCGCATATGTTTAGAGAAATTAGTTTTTCATAACGCACAAGTTGTTATTGCCACCCACGCACACACTGCCTCACACACACACACACACGCGCACTCTTTGAGTGGGCTGGCTTTTAACGGGATTTTTTATTGCAAATTCTATTCAAATATCCATTCAGTTTTATGGGCCACGGCAGCCCTGCCCCCCACACCGCCCGCTCCCCCCCCGCCCCCAAAATTCGCATACTCGTATGAGCCAAATTCCGGCAAACCCGCCCCCAGGCGACCCAAGGGGGCCGCTCCGCTACCTTGTTGTTACCGTTTTTATTTTTATTTCATTCTTCTTTTTTTTAAACAAACACAATTTTTAATATGCCTGCAATTTTTATGAGTGTTTAGAGGAATTTTATTGCACAAGATTTCCCCTGCCTAGGCGGGCGAAGCTGGCGGAATGTGGTCCCACGTCGCGTATGCGCGATAAGCGCCCACAAGGCCCCACCTCGCATAGCATTTGCGTGCCCGAAATGTCCTCGAGTACCATAAAAATAAAGAATGAAAATAATATTAAATATTATAATGTTAGGTGGGAACTGCGACTGCCAAACTGAGGCACGCTTCAGCGGTGTGGACTTGTGGCCTCTCGGCTTTTCAAATTCGTATTCCGATTCGCAGTGGCAACTAGCCGGATTCTCCTAAGGATCCACTTAGTTTCCATCGACATTAGACAAGTTATACTCGTACCCTCCATTAATCCAATTCGACGCCAATCGAGCTTAATTTTTTGATACATCTTTTCGCACGCACTCACCTTCAATTTTATTCTATTCCAGATAAAGCTTCTTGTCTTACTCCTCGAATTCCATTGCGCCAATTTCAAAGCTCTGTGGAATGATCTCCCCGCGCGTTTTGTATTCTGTGCACCTTGGGTGAAATCGGACATCAAAAGAAGACACGGTTAATTGATTGTTAATAACTATTCTAAAGTAGGCACTAATGGTTCCATCGTTTTACAGGCTGCCCGAGCTCCAAATGTGGATACCTCTGGTTTAAGAGGAAGCAATATAGATTCACTGGCAAATATGGATTCGAATAACTCTTGTATTAGGAAAAAACAATGGAGATCCACTGGCAAACTGGTAAGCTGATCTTATTTATTACGCTACCCATCTTCTCTTATTTAAGCTTCGTTTTGCGAATGTACTGGTTTTGGTAGCCTTCTAGTTGTCTACCACTACTTCTTTACTTTCTTGTTAATTATTGATGTATTTAAACTTAAACTGATAAATTGGACATAAGAGTGGAACGGTGATCTTGAAGGCATCGGCAATTGTGGAAGCAATTGTTGAAGATTCACTCTTTTACTTTGAAATTCCATAATGCAATCAACATCCGCATTTATGCCGAGTTGAAACTGTGCAGCATAGCAAGAACGTAATTTGGGAAAGTAACATCCCAGATTGGCGGAGAATCTATAAGCACATATCAGTTCGGCCACATCGAAATCAGTGGTAAAATCCCAAGAAGGACCATTTGGCCCACAAATAACCATGGGCGGCCCGGCGTCCCGAAGGAGTCCGACTCATTTGCCCTTATCGCCAGACACAAATCTTGGGCAGTAAACAAAGAGCGGCTGGCTGGCAATGTCTCTTCTTTATTTTCTGGTTAGTCGGACGCATAGCTCCCAGTTGGCCAGCGTCCAACTCGGACTGCAGATCCGAATTATGGATCATCATAAAAAGGCTGTCTCAGTGGCAGTGGCAGCGGGGCAGGGCCTTTTCGAAAATAGGCAACAATATATTTATGCTTTCGTGCAATTTCATTTTGCGAAGAGCGCACAGTATTATTACCAAAAGTCGTCACTGATGCAATCGTCGGTCCGATAGAGCCACATAGATAGGGGTCTCTACTCAGCAGCGGCTTAACGTATGGATGGGTAATGACTTTTTTACGGCCATGTCGGAACACGACCTCCAGGGGTCGGGGCAGCCAGGGAGCGGGGAAGAACACAAATACGGGGAAATATTTTATGGCAGGTTATTAAAATTCGCCATCGACGGGAGTGCAGGTGGGTCGCAGGTCGCATATGCCTATGGAGCGGCCGTGGCGATACGATTCTTACGATTCTTATTAGAAAAACATTACTCGCTCCTCGCTGGCAGCAGAATCGAGAGGGTGAATCAGCCGGAGCCGGAGCCGGAGCCGCACCTTGTTGCTATCTATCCCGGGTTGCATTTTTATGTATTGCCAAAATGATGTTCTATAACATTTTTTATTATGAATAACGGTTGTAAAATTGCGCTGCGAAACAAAAGAGCTCAAAGCCCAGAAAACCCAAAAGCAGCAACAGTCGCAAGTCAAGGACTCCAGGACTCAGGACTGGGGACTGCGAGGGGGGGCGTGGCAGCGAGGGGGAGTGGGATGTTGTGGCTGTGCCGCCGCCAGGACAAGCCACATAAAAAAGCCAACACACGAAATGCAAATTGTAAATTACAAATTTGCAATAAAAATTTTTAATAGAATGAAACATTTTGCCTTTATGAGTTTGTCTTTTGGCTGAATTTATCTGCTTTTATGATAACGTTATGTGTGCCGGAGCCACGCCCCCGCCCCCAGCCCCCTGACCTCTCGTATTCCCGTTTTCCCTCCGCCACTCGTCTTTCAACGGCGTCATCATTTTCTCGTATTGTTCTTGTTTGTCGTAACAGTTTTGCATTAACATTAACGTAATTCTCTTTGGCATTATCATAAATACATTTTACGCATATTGCCAGGGAAACAGTCTCCGAGTGGGCGTGGGTGGGCTGGGCGGTCGTAAGGATCCGAAGGACCCAAGGACCGACCTCCGTGCGTGCGTGGTGTTTTGGAGCATCTGGCCGGGTTTTAGTGCCAGTGCCTTGGGATTTATCTGGCACAACACGCATAGAATGCTTATGAATTAGCCCGCTAGTCCAGTTGGTGGCCTTGTGGTGGCGATAGGTGGTAGGGAGGGAAGGTCCTCGACTAGTCGCACCAACCAACCAGCCAACCAGCCAGCCAACCACATGGCGTTGCAGTAGCCCGGTGGTGCTGGTGGGGTGGCCACTGCAACCCGTGTATTAGTTGCCACACGAAGCGCCCCCCCGCGTCCCATGCCACCGCCCAAGGACTCCGACTAGGCCATCTGCTCGTGGCCAATCAACGCTGGCAGCGGGACTTAGAAGCCTTTCAAATCGTTGCATCCGCACTCGGCAGGCTCGTCGGGAGGACATGCGAGCGCACTCGTTGCTGCTCGGCTTTCATGTCCTGCCGGTTATTCAGTTCAGTTCCGTTCAGTTCAGTTCAGCTTTGCTTTTTAGCCCTCTAATCATCGGGGGCGGGTGCTGTGTGGGTTGCTCTATGGGTGGGGGTGGGGGCCACACTTGTCCTTCGGTTAGCAAATCGTCCTTGCTGTTGCGCACTCGCTCGCACTCCTCCTAGTCGCCTGCCATCTCCCTCCTGTCTCGCTCGCCTCCTCTACACGCGCTCTATTCACATAGTTCTGCTCTCCAGCATGTGTGTGTTTATGTGTGTGTGTGTGTGTTTGTGTCTGTGTGTGGTCGTGCTTTTCCGTCGGCATTTGCACACGCCGCCACCCACGTCCTGGCCATCCTCCCAGCCACCCAGCGCCACCCCCTCCAGCGAGAACTAGGGGAACTCGGAACGGCTCGGCTCCCGTTCGGCTCGCTTCGGGCCGCCCACTTTCGCCCCTCCCGCCCCCCTCGCCGCCCCCTTTCGTGATGTTTTGCGCTTGTTTCTGCGTCGGCTCGTGGACGCAGCACCGACCTCGGGGGGCGGCGGGGCGTTGGGGCGGCGAAGGGGCGCTCTGTCCTAGATTTGTTTAAATTATTTTGCGATAGTGTGATTGGCCTGTGCGCCCCACACCCCTCGCTCCCGCACCGCCCCCCGCCTGCTTTGGCCGCCAGCCAATGGCAGGCTTGCACATGCTTAGTCGCACTAGAGCTCGGTATCTGTCCGCACTCCCGCCCGCTCGCCCAGGAGCTCCCCCACCGCACACCGCCCACCTAGCGGCTCTGACCTAAATGCGTGTCGGCGTCGTTGCCGAATAGTGCATGCCACGTCAAAAGGACACCCCCTCCTGCTCCTGCTCCTGCTCCCCCTCCCCTTGCCCCGGCAAACTATTGTGCCAGGATCTGTGGTTGGCCCGAGCCGACGAGCCACATGTCTGGCTGTGTTTTAGTGCTTAGTTTGCGTGATAGGCCGCCCGAACTTGCCGGGGCTGAATTTGCATATACGTGTGAGTGGGCGAGCTTAGAAGCCCGGTTACTGGTTACTGGTTACTGGTTGCCGAGAGCCGAGCACCGAGCCACTTGCCACTTGGCCCAATGGGCAAGGTCGGCTGCCGAACGAACGGGTTGTGAGCCCGCTCGATCTGAACGATCTGGTGGGGATGCTGTGATCCTTTTGAGAAGCGAAGATCCAAGAAGATTCCTTCGCGGGAATCCAACTCTCAAGGATCCCATGCCTTGATGAAAACTCTTCACATGGGAAACTCGGGATTGGGAGACGTTTCGGTGAATTTGCGGAGACGCTTTCGGAACGCCAGGCATTTAAATTAATTTCAAAATAATCATGAGCAGGAAACGAGGCACTCGAGGAGAGTTGGGCTCAATTCCCGGGCCAAGACAAAGGATGTGGCAGAACGGGAAAGGAAAGGGGGGAGGGAAAGGGGGGGGTTAAGAAGGGACTGCTAAGGACTGGTGCGCGGGAACTTGGCATGTGCGTGTGTGCCAAGGATTTTCAGGGTTAAATTAGCTGACTGCGAGCGTGTGGTTAATTTTTCCACAGCGTAAGTGGAGCTCGGGTGCGCTGGCTGGCTGGCTGGTTGGATGGATGGGATGGATGATGGGCTCCTTTGTCAGGGCAACGTGGCTGATGATGGGCACGAACGATCTTGCCTGACATCTGAGACGCACTGCCTCCGCCTCCGCCCGCAAGTCCCTTTACGTATACATCCGAGTGCCGGGAACTCGTGGCACATGTAATGAAATATGCTTAAGAAGTGCGCGCTCATCGTCCGTCGTCCGTCGTCCCGAGTTCCTTTCATTCTATCTGTTTAACTTTTTTCCCAGGATGCAGGGTGTGCGGTTTGAGGGGGTGCTGAAGGGGTGGAGTGTTGCCTACACAGCTGAGGAAGCAGCCGCAAGCCCCAAGGATCGGGAGGAGGAGGAGGAGGAGGCACTCCTAGTTGGGGACTGCTTCCTTGTGCATTGGAGTGGGAACTGCGACCCAACAAGCATATGAAAAGTTTGTTAAGAATTCTTTTTGTGTGTGCGCTAACCCACAGAAAGACATCGCCACATACTCGTCCTCGTGCACAGTCCTACTAATGTCGCAGCAACATTTGCGGTTTTAATTCTTTGCCATTTACACCCACTCCACGCCACGCTACGCCACGCCCACCCGCCTCCACATACGCGCTTGTGCAGCGGAGGGAGCGGAGGGAGCAGGGTCCCCAAAATTATAAGACAGAAAGTTTGGCTCATTAAAGTCAGCGCCAGCAATCGTCGGAGACGAAGAATGATGGATGATGGATGCTGGATGTTGGATGCTGGATGATGGCTGATGGATGCCGCTAGGCTCGCTGCAGAATTGGCCAGGACATGAGCATCAGCACCAGGATGGGGACCCAGGAAGTCGTCACATGGCTCTCGCCCCAGTTAGCTGTTAGCTTTCCTCACATTCAAGCAAAAACAATTATGCGGCTTCGCTCCGCTGGACGAAATCTTGGAAGGGGTACAAATACGAATACAAATAGAGTGCTGGCACTTGGCGTGTTACCAGGACACTTTCACCCGTGTGTGTGAGTGTGCGTGTGTGTGTGTGTGGTTACGCGAGTGTGTTTTTTCGTTGCCTTGAGGCAAATTAAAAATTTCGTTTTCCGACTTCTTCTCTATGCTCATTTTTTTCGTTCGCGTTCTTCGCAACTTTACCGCTTGCGCTCACCCCTTCAAGACTTCCAGGGGGGTTTGGGTTGGGGTGGGGTGGGGGTGGGGGGGTTTCCTTGCCCCAGCCACAGTCGCAGTCGCAGCGGCAGCCGCAGCCGCGGATCCTTGCATCTTTTTTCGGGCGCCGCGGAAAACTTTCTAATAATGTTGTA